ATTCCCCATGAAACTCATTGAGAGGCAGGTGGCCACGATGGTGGAACCCGGCATCTGCCAAGGGATGGTTGGCATAGAGGCCAGCACCCAGCTCACAGATGCCCCTATCTCAGCAAAGAGGTCTCCAGGACGTCATACCCACCTAGTCTGCCAGTGAAGCCATGTCCTTGTCCCAGATCTGCAGAGCAGTGACCCAGCRGAGCCAGAGAACAGGCAGCAAGCACAGGCCATGGCTGGCAGAGCCTGCCATGATGGCCAGGGCCTGAGACAGTCAGCCTGTCACCTGTCACCCTGTGGCGGCCTAGCCCCAGGCAGGGTATGCCACAGCTCTGAACCCTGAAGCATCCACAATCCACCAACCTCAAACCCCTGGAAAGCTAGGATTGCAGGCCAGCCGACAGGAAAACAAAAGAGGGGCAGACCTGAGTGAAGCTCAGACTCAAAGGTTAACCAACATCAGTACCTTGCCAAATCCGAGTCAGCATAAATTTGGACCAACAACATTGACCCAAGTGCTACACAAACCCCTAGACTCGCACCAGCAAGTGGCAACCCCCATTGGATCCTGTCTGCCCTGTGGGACAAGTGTGTTTCTATTCACACTTGAATAAATCTTACTCATACTCCCTCATCCTCGTCTGTGGATTTCATTCTTTGAATTTGCAAGAGGAGAACCCAGAAAGAAGAAACGGCAGCGAGCTGCTGGGGTCTGCTGCAACTCTGGAGGGCATAGCCAGCCACTAAGAGCTGCCACAYATCACTCAGAGGCAGCGGAGAAGAAACGGGCTTTCTCAGCTGTAGAGGCCTGCAGCTTAACAGACCCCACTCAAGAGCAGAAGCAGAGAAATTCCGGTTTCCCCAGTGGGTGCTACTTGATTCTGCTGGGTCATCCAAATAGTGCAAAGCCAGCAGCCAAGAAGGAACTGYCCTGTCCCCTCCCCAAAGAAGCCTCCAACCTAGAAAGGCCCACGCCAGGGCTCCCAGCTGAGCCAACTCTGAGCATGATGTTCACCTGGGCCTGAATCTTGGGCAGATTCTCCACTAGGACAGGATGAGATTCCACCACTGAATAAGGTTTTGAAGGGTGGAAAGATAAGCAAAGTTGTGATTGGAACAAAACACGTACGTTGCTGGGCATGGGAGCGCATGCCTGTAATCCCAGCAGCTCAGGAGACTGAGGCAGAGGAATCATGAGTCTGAGGCCAGCCCCAGCAATTCAGCTGGGCCCTAAGCGACTCAGCAAGACCCTGTCTCTAAAAAGGAGGGGATGTGGCTCAGTGGATAAATGCCCCCGGATTCAATTCCTGGTCCAAAAAAACCCAAACAAACAAACAAACAACAATCCCCACCTCCCCCCCCAAAAAAAACCCACATACATTGACTGGAACTGTATCTCTGAAAGACCACTCACTTACCTAGCATACATAAGGCCCTGGGTTCCAACCCCAGCATTGAAGAAAAAAAAATTTAAATTTGGGGAGGGGGGCAGGCTGTGCATGGGAAGGAAAGTGAATCCCAGACTGGAGAAGCAGTATATTCGGAATGCTCAGAGATAAAAGAAGTTAATTCACTCAGCGAATATAATTGTCCCTTGGTAACCAGGGGGGATTAGTTCCAAGACCTCTCTCAACACCAAAATCTACAGACGCACCTTATGTGAAATGGGGTTTTATCTGCTGTTTATAACCTACACATGTTCTCCCATAGAGGTTGGGTCATCTTTAGAAGATTCACAATATCTAACACAATCTAAATGCCATGGAAGTATTTTTGTTATCCTGGATTGTTTAGGGAACAATGACAAGGAAAAAAGTCTATGTATGTTCAGTACAGATTTGATTAAAAAAAAAAAACAAAAAAACAAAAACAAAAGTTTTCTGTCCACAGTTGGTTGAATCTGTGAGTGCGGAACCCATGTGTAGAAGGAGCTGACTGCAGGTGTTCGTCATCCACCTCTGGACCAGAAATTGATTGGGTGCTGGAGCTGACAGACTCCATGCTCTTCTGGAGTTCCCAGAAATTGAGGTGACAGAGAATCTAGTAAATCAGAAGAATTTACTGGGGTGCTCAGTTCAGTAATATAATGAGAATATTAGGGAAGTGACAGTGGACAGGGCAAGATGCAGGATGTAGTTGGGGGCACCCAGGAAAGCCTTTAGGAGAAGGCCAGGCCATAAGAAGGGTGGAGCTGTCTGTGTTGGRGATCGTTTGGAAGAGCATTTAGGCTGAGGGTATGGCAAGGTGGCCACACCAGAGCTCAGAGAACGGGGAGAGAAGGTTCAAAGCCATGGAGTGGGGTTTGGATGATGATGCCCTGAATTTAGGCCTGCTTGAGACTGCCTGGCACCTGGCAGGAAGCCTTTCCCTTCCTGGAGACTACAGCAAAGGGCTGGGGAATATCTGTTTCCCTTTTCCTTGCAGAAATACAAAGGCAGTTCAAGACCAGGAGGAACATGCCCCCCTGCCAGCCTGCCCCACATTACCATCTATCCCCATCTCAGGAAATGGCCCTCCATCCTCTCAGGGGCTCAGACCTGGACTAAGGAGTCACCCTTGATGCTGCCTGTAAGACCAGTTGGYCCAGGCTGCAAAACACATTCCAAATTCAACCACTTCTCCAAAGCCACCTCCCAGCCCAGCTCCAGCAATTGTTCATCTGGACCAGAGCGGCCTGGAGCTCCTGCAGCCTCAAGAAGTCACCTGTGAACACCTGAGTCAGGTAGTCCCTCYGCGCTCAGAAACCTTCACAGCTCCCACTTCACTAGGAATAAAAACCAGAGTCCTTCCTAGACGCCAAGCACCTGTGCTACCTACACTGTCACCTCTCTGCCCTCTTTCCCTCCAGTCCTTCACCCACYCTGCTGCAGACACACTGGCCATGAGCTGTTCCCTATGCAGGGGTTTTCCACCTCCAGGCCCTCTGCTTGGTACACCACTCCTCGGGAGGCTGGCATGACTTGCTCCTCATCTCCCTCTGGTCTGTGCTCAATGTCACCTTCTCACTAAGTCTTCCTCTACTCAGGAGCCAGAGGCAAGAGGATCGCAAGTTCAAGTCCAGCCTGAACAACTTAGCAAATAACAATGGCTGGGGTGCGGTTCAGTGGTAGAGAGCTTACCTAGCATGCCAGAGTTCTGGGTTTAATTCCTGGTGTGTGTGTGAAAAGAAAGTTCACTAACTCTCACACTTCTTATTCCCTTTCCTGCTTAATTTTTCTTTTTAGTATTAATCAAAAACTAAATTGCTAGCCACATAATCCCAGTGATTGAGGAAATTGAGGCAGGAAAATCGCAAGTTCAACGCCATCCTCAGCAACTTAGCGAGGCCCTAAGCAAATGAGAACCTGTCTGAAAATAAAAATGAATGAATGAATGAATGAATAAGGGCTGGGGATGTAGCTCGGTGGTAAAGCGCCCTGGGTTCAGTCCCCAGTACTGTCAAAGGAACCCCCACCCCACAACGCTCCATATATCTTATTTTTGTTTCTTGGTACCGCCTCTACTAAGACGATCCCTGCACGGTGCGAGGATTGTTTTCTGTGTTCACTGATGTGTCTCCAACACCTGGAACGATGCCTGTCACACAGTAGGCGCCTGATAAACAGAGAAAAGAATATAGCTTCGTGGCTGCAAAGGGGGCCTGAGGCCGCGCGAGGGAGCTCGCTGCTCGCGCTCCTGCTCTGGAACCGAGCAACCCGCGAGGCGAGCCCAGGAAAACTCCGCCCGAAAGAAGGCTCGGGCTTTTCCAGACTGCGCGCTGGGCCGTCCCTGATCTCACTCTGGGACTTTGCCCAGGTCGTTGCAGGGCGGGGATTCAGCACGCGGCGTACCCGCACCCGCAAGACCAAAGATCCCCGTGGAAATTCCTTAGAAAAATCCGAGCGGGGAGCGGGGCGCCTTTTCGGATGGCGTGTTATTCCCAGCCCGGGTCCCCGGGAGGAAGGGCCAGCGCATCCCCCGGACCTCTCCCTTCCCCTTCTGGTTCACGACCTCCGTGGCCCCTCCAAGGTCTCCATAGCGACTCCACAAGCGTCCCACAACAGGAAGCTTTAGGCGGCGAGGCTCAGAGTCCTGAGACCCAAGGTCCCCAGCCTCGACGTGTGGATGCCGAGACCTGGGGTCACACGTGCAGGCCGTGGCCGGGCGCGCACAGTTGGGGCAGGCGCCCTTCTCCCCGCGCCACCGCGAAGCCTCAGTTTCCCTGCAGAGCCTGGGACGACAGCGGAAGGTCTCCGGGCGTCAGGATCACCCGGCTTCCTTCCTTTTTCTGGGAGCTGTGAAGACGCCCTCGTGGCCGAGGCCGAAAGGGGAAGAGAAGTCGCKCGCGTCGGGGGAGGGGCGGGAGCCCACGGGCGGGGAGCGCCGCACGTCTCACTCGCAGGGCTGGCGGGCACCGGGAGGTGCCTGGGCCTGCTCAGGTCGCTTCTCCGGAAACCTCGGTGGCAGCTTGGCTGGAACGTGTCCTTTGGGGAGGGGCACCTTTGAATGCAGGACTCCGGGCAAGGATCCCTGGGCTTCCACCCCCGCGAGGGGCTTGTCCACTCGATTAGAGAGGCCTGCCCGAGCTGGGGAGTCAAGACTTGAGTTCGGATCCCTTCGCAACTCGCAGCCTCAGTTTACCCCTCTGTGAAATGGACACGTTATCAGTCTCGACTGTTCAGGGTAGTTGGCAGTATTCCATCACTAAGTAAACGGTGAATCGAGGTTACTCCGGCCGGGAATGAGACCCCCGCCCCCAGGTGGCCCGGAGCAGCCCCCTACTCTTCCCTCCCGGTCCTGCCGCCCTCCTTGCTTCAGTTTGGAAATTCCRACCCTGCCACGGCCAGCGAGGCAGGACCACCCGCTCGGGCGGGCATTCTCTCAGTCCGGAAATGCCAGAGCCCTCGTTGAGGAGGGGAAGGCTCGAGGTTTCCGGGAAAGCAGCACCGCCCCTCGGCCCCCCGCGGCCAGCCGTTATAAAGGACCCGTGCGCTCTCCGGGCTCCAGTGCGCAGTGAGCGCCTCTCGCCTCCGCGCTGCTCCCTGCGAACTGCCCAGGCTGCCATGGCCCCCGCCGGCGCCCCGTCCGCGYTGCCCCTGCTCCTGGCTCTGCTCGGGGCTCTGCTCCCAGGTGAGTCGAAGGTGCGGGTGGAAGGTGCGGGTGGCCGTCAGGTCAGCTCCCCGGATACGACGTGCGCCTTGGACGTGCGCCGTGGGAGGACGCCTCTCCGGTTGGCAAGGGGTCATGTTAGGGTTATGGGAGATGGAACTAGAACCCCCCATTGAAAGTCACCAGCCGCAGGTGGAACCCAGACTCCGAATGACCTCGATGGGTGGCCTCGGGCCCCTTTTACACTTAAGGGTCTCGGCTGTAAAATGGGGCCACCATTTATAAGGACCACCTCGCAGGCTTTGTGTGGGGGTGCAGCACTACCCTGGCCCCAGGACACGGTCAGATGGTGTGGGGGGCTGGCCTCCGCTCTGAGTAGGCTTTGGGGACCCATCTCCTCCCACAGACATTCTGTTCCTCATCTTCTGCCCCTGGGGAAGTCCAGGCTGCTTCTGCTCAGGGGAATTCCAGAGTCACTTTCTCAGGGACCACRGACTGCGAAGCAGGTCGCAGCAGGTGGTTGAAGCAGGTCGCAGCAGCACTCCCCAGCTCCCCGCTCCAGCCCGGATGGGGGCCTAGAGAGGGGAGGTGACTTAACTAGAAATCAGGATGAGTCCAGATTAGAACCCGTGGTGGAGCTGGAACTGTGTCGTCTTGCCGTCTCCTTCTTTCCAACGCTGTCCAGCAAGGCCGATGCCTGCCCTCCCTCTTTCCCCCTGTGAAATGGGAGTAATTCCAGAATCACCCTTGGAGAATTTCCAGTCTCTGTTGTGTTCTGCCTCCGCCCCAGCTAGAGCTAATCTGAGGCCTGGAATCTTGCAAGGGTCAGGCAGGGGTGCTCAGATTTATTATTATTTTTTTTTAATATTTATTTTTTTAGTTTTAGGTGGATACAATATCTTTATTTATTTTTTTKTGTGTGTGGTGCTGAGGATCGAATCCAGTGCCTCACATGTGCTAGGTGACTCTCTACCACTTGAGCCACAGCCCCAGCCCTTCAGATTTATTATTATTAATATTAATATCATCATGATTATTATCATTTGAGATGGGGTCTGGCTATGTCGCCCCTGCTGATCTCAAGTTCCTAAGCTCAATCCAGCCATGCTCCTCAGGTAGCATGTATTGGTATTGTACAGGTATTGGCCATCCAGCCAGGCTCCCTCCTTTTTAATTAATTTTTTTTTTTTTTTTTTTTTGGTACTGGGGATTGAACCCAGGGTGCTTCACCTGAGCTACATCCCCAGCTTTTAATTTTCTATTTTGAGACAAGGTCTCACTAAGTTGGCTTAGGGCCTTGCTGAATTGTGAGGCTGGCCTCAAACATTACAGTTGTCCCCCACAGCACTTTAAGTTTTTTTTCTTTTCTTTTTTTTTTCTCAACTTTGCAGGCCGAGTCTGAGGTCTAACATAACCTCTTCCTTCTAATCGCACTTCCTTACAAGATAGCTAACCACTCGCTACCTGCCTTGTGCTGTGACTCCTATTAACAGGGGTGTGTGGTGACTACACCCACTCACCTTGTAAGTGGGAAAATTGAGGCTCGGAGAGGGGAAACAGTGTGTCTGAAGGAGTAAGGAGCTAGCTCGATTCCTAGCTCCCTTCCCCTGGCCTCTTGGAAGGCAGGAGAGGACAGACTTGGTATTACAATCTGACTCTCCTTCCATGACTCTTCATTGTCCTCAAAGAACACCATAAGCATTTGTGTATATGTATATTCATATATATTATGTATATGTATATATTACATATATTACAATATATGTAATACATATATTACATATATTTGCATATTCTACCACTGAACTACATCCCCAGCCTTAAAAACTCTTCTTTAGTGTGCTCTTTCCTGCTCACGTGATCTTGATTTCATTTCCCCCTACTCCCCCTTCCCCTGCTTCCTGGGCTCCAGCCACTCTGCCTCAGGGCCTTTGCATTTGCTGTTCCTTTTGCCTGGAAGCCACTTCCCTTTTCTCTGGATAGCCAGCCCTTTCTCGTCACTCAGGTCTTTGCCCAGCTCTGTCACCAAGGCATCATTGGTTCACTCATTGTTTTGTTTTTGCCAAATCTTTACTAACATCCCTTATTAATTATCTTGTTTGCTCACGAATATTCCTGTCTCCCACACTGAAGGCAGAGGGTTTTGTTAATTCAGGGCCGTGTGCCCAGCTCCCCGCCCAAGCTGGGCACACAGTAACGCTGGCGCATGTGATGGGTCACGCCTCTGTCCTCACCCTTGTGTTCCAGAGCCTGGAGATGCCCAAACGTCGGTCTTCCCCACAGAAGCCACTCTGCCCCGAGGAGGCTCTGTGCTGGTGAACTGTAGTTCAACTTGTGAAGAGAAGGCCTTCTTGGGCCTGGAGACTCCGCTGACCAAGGAGGAGCGGGACAAAGGGCACAACTGGAAGGTGTTCGAACTGAGTGACGTGGAGGAAGACAGCAAGCCGATGTGCTTCTCCTTCTGTGGCTCAAACCAGACATTAGCTGTGGTTTCCCTCACCGTGTACAGTGAGTGGCGGCCAGGGGACAGGATTAGGGAGATGGGGTGGGGGAGGTGGGGGTGGAACCTCAGAGCAGCGCACGGAAGGGCAGGGGGAAAGTTCCACTGTCATCTGGAAGCCCTTTGAATTTCTTTGGTTACATTTCGAGTATCAACAGGAATTGGGACCGTTTGAAAACACCATCTCTCTATACCTTAATCTCTCTGTGTGTGGTGCTAGGGATGGACCCCGGGCCTGGCGCATGCTGAGCACATGCTCTACCACGGAGCTTCGCCCAGGGGTTTTATACTCTTTAAACATAGCAGGAGGCTCTGGATCTGATGCTTTAGAAAAGGATGCATGGGCTGGGGGTGCAGCCCAGCAGCCATAGAGCACTTGCCCAGCATGTGTGAGGCCCTGGGCTCCATCCCCAGAATTGCAAAATAATATTTTTTCCTAACCCTAAAAACAAATGCAAATTAAAACTAGCCCTCAGATGACATTGTTCACACATTGATTAAAAGAATTGACAACAGCTGTGCTGGCCAGACTGTGGGGAGTCTGAGCACAACCCTGTGGCAAGTTATTAGGTATTGAGTCTCAAAATGATATTTGCTTGCTGGGCACAGTGGTGCACACCTGTCATCCCAGTGGCTCAGGAGGCTGAGGCAGGAGGATCGAGAGTTCAAACCCAGCCTCAGCAATGGTGAGGTGCTAAGCAACTCAGTGAGACTCTGTCTCTAAATAAAATACAAAATAGGGCTGGGGATGTGGCTCAGTGGTTGAGTGCCCCTCAACTAAGGGTCTCACTGAGTTGCTTAGCACCTTGCTTTTACTGAGACTGACTTTGAACTCATGATCCTCCTGCCTCAGCCTCCCAAGTTGCTGGAATTACAGGCATGTGCCACCATACCCAGCTCAAAATATAAATAATTTTTTAAAAAGAATTTGCATATTAGCTGTGTGGTAGAGCACCCCTGGCTTCAATCTCTGGTAGTGTCAAAAAATTGATATATGCTTGTGTTCTGCACTTTAGAAATCCCAGTCCTGGGAATTGGTCCTAAATGGGCCCCTCCCATCAAGGCATTGGTGGAGCCCTTAAAGTTTTTATTTTTTTTCTTCCTGTGGTGCTGGGGATCAAATCCAGGATGTGACACATGCTAGATAAGCTCTCTACCACTTAGCTGCTTGAGGACACAAGTTCACAAATGATTGCATTCTAGAGGGCCAGGGAGAGAAAAGTAGGTTTGCCATATCAGAGAATAGTATGTAACTGTGTAAAAGAATGAGGAAGCTCCTCTGTGCCAGAAGGGAAGTGCTCCAAGGTGTACTGTAAAGTTGAAAAGAAAGTACTGCTGGGCATGAGTGGCATGCCATCTTCTGTGGCAGAGAGCCAAAGGGGGCAGATGGGGAGGTGGTATTTACACACAAAGGAGCCCTAAAAGGAAACACAAGAAATAATAATGTGGGCCCAGTAATCTCAGCAATTTAGGAGTCTGAGGCAGGAGGATCACAAGTTTGAGGCCAGCTTGGGCAACTTAGTGAGACCCCCATCTCAAAAAAAAAAAAAAAAAGAGAGAGAAATGACAAGGACAATACTAATTGGCTGTGAATAGAAAAACTGCTGAGAGGCCCCAGGAAAGGGGGAGGCAGAGGATTTTCTTGTAATGTCCTTTTTGCTTTGAGGATTTTTGATCTGTGAGAATGAGTTTCCAAGGCAAAGGGAGAAAAAGSACAAATACAATTCAAATCATAACAAAACGAAAAGGAGAAACAACAAAGAGAACTGGCCAAGTGACCTGGAATGAGACTGTCTGGGTCCCAGGCCCAGCGTGGCTCTAGGGACTGGGTGAGGGTGGGGGACATGGGTTCTAGGTTTACTTTTCCATCACGGGAGACCTCCTGCCTTGGGGACAGGAGGGTGAAAGCCTTTGGGCGTTCATCGACTCCACTTCTGGTTTGGAGGGTGTCTGAGCAGATGYTGGCCGCCAGGTGAGGAAAGTCCCCAAACATTCCTGGTGGCCTCTGAAAACCCCTGGGAAATCTCSTTAAGGGCTTCTCTGAGTCTCCGCCTGGCAGTTGAGGACCCAGCACTACACGTTGGGTCCTGGCTCCTCCGCATTTCTCCTCTGTGACTTTGGATCTCCCTTTGCCTTGGTTTCCACCTCTGGGAAATGGGCCGGTGGCTGCCTGGCGGTTGTTTCCAGGGCATATGAGGTGGGCAGTGCCTAGGAGAGACGGGCAGGGCTCTGCCCCACTCTTGGTGCCAACATGAGGAGGCATCYTCTGGGTGGCTAAGCCTTGTCAAAAAAGTTAGAAGTAGGGGCTGGGGATGTGGCTCAAGCGGTAGCGCACTCGCCTGGCATGCGTGCGGCCCGGGTTCGATCCTCAGCGCCACATACCAACAAAGATGTTGAGCAGGTCAAAAACTAAAAAAATAATTTTTTTTTTTTTAAAAGCTAGAAGTATAGGGGCTGGGGATGTGGCTCAAGCAGTAGCGCGTTCGCCTGGCATGCGTGCGGCCCGGGTTCGATCCTCAGCACCACATACCAACAAAGATGTTGTGTCCGCCAATAACTTAAAAAAATAATAAATAAATATTAAAAAAAAAAGTTAGAAGTATAGTTCCTAGAGAACGGGACCACTAGGACTTTGATGGATGTGTGGGAGTTGGTAGAAATGGGCGCCCTGGGGCTGGGGTAGCGTGTGCCTTTGGGATGGGCAAGCCCCCGAGGTCAATCCCCAGCACAGAGGGAACAGCCCGTGGACAAGGGGACATCCTGGGGGCAGGTCAGGAAGAGCTGGACACTGTTGGGGTGGAAAGGAGGAGCCGTGCGACCTTCTCTTCCTTGGGGTGCTGGGAGCCAGGAGGATTTGTGGGCAGGTCAAGAATCCAGGTAGCAGGGTGTACAGGAGTCAGAAAGTGGCTGGGCTGGGCCTGAGGGGCTGCACATGTTATTGGCAATGGTGGCATCCAAGAAGGGATGAAGGACGAAGTGACTAGGATTTGGTGAGGGACTGAGGATCAGGGTCCAGGAGAGGTAAGGACAAATCAGACCCCCTTGTCCTTTAAGGGAACGAGGCTTAAGGATTGCTGAGTCCCATTTAGAGGCTGAGGTTTGATGGGACCTCCTATGCTGCCATTTCCAGTTTCTGTAGTTAAGAGCTGGGGCTGGGGATATAGCTCAGCTGGTCGAGTGCTTGTGTTGCACACACAAAGGCCCTGGGTTCCATCCCCAGCACCACCCCACTCAAAAAAAAAAAAAAAAAAAAGGAGTTAAGAGCTGTACCTCTGAGGTTTTTGTGACCTTTTGTTTTTTTTTTAACAGTTTTACTGAGATATTATTTACATACCACAAAATTCACCCCTTTGGGGGCTGGGGTATAGCTCAGTGGTAGTACCTGGCTTAGCATTCGAAGGCTTTGGGTTCCGTCTCCAGCACCGCAAAATTTTTAAAAAAAGCACAACTGGATGAATGTTTCAGTGTATTTATAGAATTGTACAACCACTGCCGCTATCTACTTTGAGAACATTTTCATCACCCTAAAAAGAAGCTTCCTGCCCATTTCTAGTCACTCAGTCTCTTAAATTGATTAATAATATTCCACTTCTAATGGCCCCATTTTACAGTTCAGGAAACTGAGGCTCAGAGGGGCAAAGGCACTTGACCACCATCCACGGCAAGAAGCCACATAAGCTGGCGTCCAACACAGGCCAGCCTGGCTCCCCACACCTTAGGGGCATTGCAGGTGACATTTTGGGACCTCTTGAGAAGAGATTAGGGAAGGGAAGGTCATCAGGGGTCTTGGTGCTAATCCCCAGCTCATGGTGCAATACACGTCCTGGGCATCAGGTTGGGATTCTGTTCCTCCGTATGGAATGGGGTCTGGCCTCCGTGTTGTGTGTATATTCAAGGGGGTGTTCGGTTTCCTTTTTCTTTTCTCTTTTTGAAAAATATTTTTTAGTTGCCCATGGATCTCTCACTTGGTTGATTCCTCTGCGGTGCTGAGGAGGGAACCCAGGGCCTCACTCATGCCAGGCAAGCGCTCTACCGCTCAGCCCCAGCCCCAGCCTCGGTTTCATTTTTCTATTTGCCCATTTTTAACATGGGATCCACAGCTCCTTCTTCTCTTTCCCTTGAAATCTGGCCCTTGGAGCTGGGGATGGAGCTCAGTGAGGCCCTGGGTTTTACCAGCACTGGGGGGAAAAAAAACAACTTTTTTACAAATTGGGCTCCTGAAAAGCCTCCCATCAGTTTGGCCTGCTCTACCTCATTCTTTTGACAAATATTGAGCAACTACTGTATGCCAGGAAGAACAAAAGAACCAAGCAGACAAAAATCTCTGCCCCTGGGCTAGGGGTGCTTGGCATTCCCCCAGAGCCTGGGTTCTGTCCCCAACACACACACACACACACACACACACACACATACACACACACACACACATCCCTTCCCTCCTTGGGCAAAAGGAGGAAATAGGGAAACAACTTAATTGAATAGAATAGATTGTCGTATATATTTAGAAGATGGAGATGTGTTGCTGAGCGTGATGGTGCACTCCTGTGATCCCTGCAACTCAGGAGGCTGAGGCAGGAGGATTGGAAGTTCAAGGCCAGCCTCAACAACTTAGAGAGACCCTGTCTCAAAATAAATAATAAAAAGGACTGGGGGTGTAGCTCAGGAGTTCAATCCCCAATATGGGGAAGAAAAAGAAGGTGGTGTGCACCATGGAGCAAAAAGTCAGGCTGAGCAGAGGTTTCGTTCTGTGGTCTGGGGTGGAACCAGGGCTCTAGCCCCAGCCGCACCCTCAGCTCACAGGAGCCCTGGTTAAAGTATGTCTAGTGGAGGGGCTTCTCCTGGGCATGATATTTGACCAGGCTGTGGGCACAGAGTTTGCAGTTCTTTTCAGATCCGGCTGCACTGCATAAAGAATTTTTTGGTCCCCTTTACAAACACTTGGGCCTCTCAGCAGCCTTCCCGAAGCTCTTGCATTCCTGTCTGCTTGCCTGGCGTCCTCTTTTGGGAAGTCGGGGGAGTGGCGAGATTCCAGGACAGGTGCCSGCTGGCCAGCTTCATGGGAAACTCCCCCACTTTCCCCACAGGGCTCCCGGAGCACTTGGAGCTGTTACCCCTTCCCCCCTGGCAGCCGGTGGGCGAGAACCTCACCCTGAAATGCCAGGTGAAGGGCGGGGCACCCCGGGCCCAGCTCACCCTGGTGCTGCTCCGTGGGGAGGAGGAACTGAGCCGGCAACCTGCGGTGGGGGAGCCAGCAGAGGGCACCGCCACSGTGCTGGCGGGCAGAGGTGACTATGGTGCCAAGTTCACGTGCCGAGCCGAACTGGACCTGCGGCCCCAAGGACTAGGATTCTTCCAGAACACCTCGGCCCCCAGGCAGCTCYGGACTTTTGGTGAGGCCCCGGGCAAGGTGGACTCGGAGGGGAACAGCGTTGCTGCGTGGGTGCCGGSTTCCTGGGAAGGAGCCCCTGGCTGGGCCAGTATCGAGAAGGTGGTGGCCTAGGTGGCGGAAGCTTTTGGAAAGGACAGATGCTTACCTACAGGAGCGGGATGCCCTGGGGATGGGGTGCCTGTGGCCGCAGGATCTGGRGCATCTTTACTCCCACACCTGGAACGTTCTCTTCCTGGACTCTCTATGGCCTGAGTAAAGATGCCCCAGCCAGCTGTGGGATGTCTCGGCCTCTCTGTTCACGCTCACCCTCTCTCCCCAGTCYTGCCGATGACTTCCCCACAGCTTGAGACGCCCAGGATCCTGGAGGTGGGCACATCRGAGAAAGTGGTCTGCTCCATGGGTGGGCTGTTTCCAGCTTCAGAGGCCCGGGTCCACCTGGCCCTGGGGGACCACAGGCTGAACACCACAGTCACGTACAACGAGGACTCCGTCTCAGCCACAGCTTGGGTGGAGGGGACTGCAGAGAACAAGGGTGACCATGCGCTGGTGTGTGCAATCATGCTGGGGAACCAGAGCCAGGAGTCCTGGAGGAACCTGACAGTCTACAGTAAGAAGGGCAGGGGTGAGGCTCTCAGGGGACATGGCCTGCCGCGGGGGCTGGGCTCACTGTTGTGTTCTGCCTCAGGTTTCCCAGCTCCCAACCTGACCCTGAGCGAGCAGGAGGTTTCAGAAGGGACCCAGGTGGAAGTGGCGTGTGAAGCCTCCGTTGGCCTCAGGGTGAGGCTGAGCGAGGCCCCAGCTGAGCCATGGGCCCCGAGCGTCCAATTCCTGCTGAACGCCACAGCTGAGGACCACGGTCGCCACTTCTCTTGCTCTGCTGCCTTGGAGGTGGCTGGGCACGTGCTGTACAAGAACCAGACCAAGGAGCTTCGGGTCCTGTGTGAGTGGAGGTCTTGCACAATGACCCCTGCCCTTGTGGCCCAGCCCAAAGGCCCYGTCAACTTTGCCCTCCAAGGCCTGTCCCCACCCCTGGTAGTCCTAGATGTGAGGGGTGTCCTTGTCCCCCTTTCGCTCATCCTGCTGTTTCCCTAGACGGGCCCCGACTGGACGAGAGTGACTGCCTGGGGAACTGGACGTGGCCAGAAGAGACCAACCAGAACCTGTCGTGCCAGGCATGGGGTAACCCGGTCCCTCAGCTGACCTGTCTTCGGGAAACGGATAGGGCTCCGCTGCCCATTGGGGACCTGAGACCTGTCAAGAAGCAGTATGAGGGCACCTACCTCTGCAAGGCAGAGAGCCCTCGTGGAGCGGTGGCCCGGAAGGTGTTCTTGACCGTGCTCAGTGAGTGTGCCAGTGTGCGGGGCTGGGCGCAGGTGGGAACAGAGATCCTAGCTTGATCCTCAGTCCCTTGTGTCCTTCCAGCAGCCGGGAAAAATGTGCTCATCATCGTTCTGTTGACGGCTGGGGCCATCCTGGGCGCTGTGGTCGCGGCCATTTACCTCTATAACCGCCAACGGAAGATCAAGATATACAAGCTCCTGAAGGCGCAGGAGGCCGCYGCCGCCCTGAAGCTGAAAACACAGGCCACGCCCCCCTGAGCACACCCCAAGACAGGGCCTCCTTCTCGCCRCCCCCTCATCTGCATGGTGTTGCACGAAAGAGAATGGTGGTCAGAAGCCATTTGGCTACGTCCACCTCCTCAGGGTAACAGGATAGGACCGTGGCCTGAGGATGCAGACAACATTTGGTGTCGGGGCATCTGCACAAATAGGATCTCCAGGCCTCACACCTGACCCGCAGTCACAGTCTGTGCCAAAAGGAGACGCCAAGACCTGGACACATGTAGGATCTGACCAGGACAGTGGGGGAGTGGTGGCCGTGGACCTTGTGGATCCCCAGCCTGGAAATACCGAGGTCCGCTCCCTACTGCCTATGCGGGGCCCYGCAGCCCCAAGGAAGAATAAACCCACAGACCTAGGTAGCAGTGAAACAAAAAGGCCCATACATCCTCTAAGGCTCTGACACTGCTGTCCAGTTGTCCCCAACTCTTGATGATGATGTATTTATTAATTTGGTATTTTGCCAGCTATTTATTGCCTACCTTTTATGTAGTCTACAATGGTGAACAAGGTGAACACAGGTTCTCACTCTCATGGAATTCTCCGTCTAATTACATTCAGAGTCGCCAGGTAGAGTTGTCCTGGCTGGGCACTGCACAAGAGTGCCTGGTAAAAAGATCAAGTGGGGCTGGACTTTCATACTCCATTGGCCAAGCTGCTTTCTCCCAGAAAGGGTGCTTTTTCTGTCAGGCATTAAGGCACCGTAGGAGCTAGCAATGGTGACATGCTTGGCCACCACTCACTGAGACCTTACTATTTCCCCTTCTTGGCACTGGTGCTGTTAATCACCTCTCCACCCACATGTTTCTCAGCCTATGTTCTCAGTGATCCTCAGTGACTATGCCCCTCCTGTGCAGCGACACTATAAAGTCCCATGAAATTCTTCCCAACTGTGTACCCCACCTTATCTCACCTGTCTCTGCCTCAGTGGGACCATGAAGGAATAGAACACCGTGCAGCTCCGAAACCCTTCAGTGTTCAGGACACTGGGGGCAGTGATGGGGGTCCAGTCCTGCCAGGCTTTGGACCCCCTCCCAGCTCAGGAAGCCTCTCCTTTATGCCAATAAAGTTTTTCATCAGCCTCAGCGTCAGCCTCTGTGAGTAGAGAGAACCCTGTTACATCTACTGGAGGAAACTCTATGTAGCCCAGCCACAGCTCCTAACCTCCCACTTCCTCTCCCAAGAGAAGGTTGCCTGTTGGCTCGATCTGAGGCTTTGTTCTAAATCTGGGAGTTTAAAAAAATTTATCTGGACCCCGTCCACAAAATTGAAATGACAACTGGTTGTCAATGGGGTCTGGAATCTCATTGCTGGGCTAAAAGGGACTGATATCTTCTGCAGGGCTCCTGGGTCCCCTGGGGATCTCGGGCCCCTCTCTGGGCGGGTCTAAGGAGGCGGGACTACGAATCTCCTATCTCCAGAGCCAGTGGTGGCTCTCTGGYGCCAGGCCCTTCAGCGCGGGCTTTCTGCCATGGGGTCTCTGCTCCTCCTGTCGCTGCTGCTTTTGCTGGTGACCGTGTATCCAGGAGATGGAGGCGTGCTGGGGCGCCAGGCTGAGCGTGTGCAAGGCACCAGCGGCAGCCCTCCCGCACCCTCGGGGACACCAGCGCCCTTCTGGGTACGCATTAGTCCGGAGTTGGTGGTGGTTCCGCAGGGGGGCTCAGTGTGGCTTAACTGCAGCAATAGCTGCCCCCTGCCGGCAAGTTCCAGCGTCGGCACCCAGCTGCTGCGGGGCAAGACGCTCAGTGGGCCAGGTTGGGTATCTTACCAGCTGCTGAATGTGAGGGCTTGGAGCTCCGACGTACACTGCTTCGTCACCTGCGCAGGAAAAACGCGAGAGGCCACCGCCAGGATCACCACCTACAGTGAGGGACAGGGGTACAGGTCCAGCTGGGGTGAGGGGAAGAAGGTGAAGGATGGGGTAGTTGAAAGTCGCAAGAGGGGGCGCCCGCGGACCTTACGGTGGGGCTCCCYTCTTGCTTTAGAGCGGCCTCGCAGCGTTATCCTGGAACCACCCATCTTGGTTGGCCAAGGGTACTTTCTGCGCTGCCACGTGATGCACGTTTTCCCAGTGGGCTCCTTGATGGTGATCCTGAGGCGCCGCGGCCAGATCATCTATTTCGAAACCTTGGAGCACTTYCAAGGTTTGCATGTGGCCAATGTGACGCTGACCCATGTTTTGCGCGCTGGGCCCAGCAACCTATGGCAGCCGTTGACCTGCCACGCGCGCCTCAGTCTCCACGGTCTGGTGATACACAGCAGCTCAGCACCTATTATGCTAACAGCCTTAGGTGAGGCACCTGGGGACTTGGGGGAGGGAGGTTATGACTTCAGGATGGTGTGCAGACCTAATGACCACATGGTGGTCGCCAGACCTCTATGTGCTCCTTTCCTAATTCTCACCTCCTGCTCCCAGCTTGGAACCCCGCCTCCAAAGCCTTGGCCTCCACCTCCATCGCAGCCCTTGTGGGRATTCTTCTTGCCATGGGGGCTGCCTACCTGTGCAAGTGCCCAGCTAAGCAGCCCTGGCTTAGAAAGCTATTCTATGCCAACTAAGCCAAAGGAAAAAGAAGTCTGGAACAATTTAGTAAACCCAGCTTGGATCAATAAAGCTTCCTTGACCAGTCTCTGTCACACARCCTAAGGGTCCTTAGAGGAAAGTGTCTCCTTTACTGGCCCTRCTTTCTCAAAATTCTTTGTCTTGCTTAGTTAGGCACTTGAGGTTTCTCCCTGAAGGCCTACTTGAGGTTCCAGGGCCCAGTACCTCTGCATTCCCAACCGGTGTAGTAAAAAAACATCTGCTAGCATTATCAGTGAGGTGCAGATGGGCTAAATGGGGCCCTGGAGGGGCCTTGGGCTGGGGGAGGGCTGGTTCATTGTACAGCTTTTCCTCATTGGCTCCGTTGCTACCACGCAGCAGCTCTGATTGGATGTTAAGTTTCTTTTCCCACCCCCATCTCCACTTTACAGTGGAGGGGTCATCGGAGGGGTCCTCATCCCCACAGCCCACTATTAGCGTTGAGGAACWGAAAATAAGTGGGCGGGGTCATATAGGGTCACGTATTGCGGGAAAGGGATACCCAAACTATCTATGTAGTGACAGCAAGAGAGAGGTCATCAGATGGTCCACGTAGGTTGTCAGAGCCTGGTGTCCTAGCAACGTCCTGGTAGTCACTGGGCCAGGTGGGCATATGGGAGGTGTCAAAGCTTGGGACCCAGATGCACAAAAGCGTGACATTTGATTTCTCGGTCTCACGAAGATGCAGAATTTAGGCCCGCTCAGGGTACCTGGCGGAGCCGACACTGTCCAGGGCTCCGCCCGCCCCGAGGAAGGCGCATTCAGAAGCGCTCCTTGGGAAGCTTGCGCTCGCACAGGCGGGTAGACACATGCCCGCTGCACGCTGGGTAAATACAGACCCCGAGCCGAGCCGACTCTAATTTAGACGCCCGCGAACGCTGCGCGCACGCACACGTGTCTCCGACTCGCTGGCACTTTCGTCCCCGCCCCCTCGTCGCGTGCCGAAGCCGAGCGGGAGGACTAGAGGTGTGGTTGTCATCCTCAGCTCCTCGGGGTCAGAAGACGGTTCAGTGGAAGGAGGCATCCCCACACCGTCCTCTAGACCCGTCTTTTCCCCACACGGTGTTGCTCAAACCTCTCTTAAGCTCCAAATCAATCCCCGCCCTAAGGGGCGCTGGTAGGAGGAGCTAAACCTGCGGGCGGAGCTCAGAGCCCAGCTTGTTATCCTGGCATCTAAACCAGGGTGGGTGGAGGTTTGGGCAGGGCAACCCAGCATCCCCCCACCTCCGCGTCGCGGCCGAGGATGACGCGGGAGAGCGTGGTCGTCCCCAGAAGGCTCCAGGAGATCGGGCCGACCTCCATGTAAACCCGGGGGTCGCTCACTCCTGCCGGCTCGCCTTCGCCAAGGCCTGGAGCCCAGTGCACGCTCGCCTCCCGCCCCCCGCCGCCTCTGCCGCCGCCCCCTCCTTGGAAACCAAGTTACCAACGTTTAAACCAATCCCCGAGCGCAACTCTGCCTCCCCCACACTCCACCCGCCGCGCCGCGCCGTCCTCTAGCCGGGCTCGTCACTCGCGCTCCCCTCGCTTCCTTCGCTTCCCCCGCGGCGGCGATGCCAGGGCCTTCGCCGGGGCTGCGCCGAGCGCTACTCGGCCTCTGGGCTGCCCTGGGCCTGGGGATCCTTGGCCTCTCAGGTAAGAGCCCGCTGCTGCTCGGGGTGGACAGAGCTGGGGCGGAGTTGCCAGACCTGAGCAGCGGCCTTACGCCCCTCCCAGCTCCGCCCTCTCCTCKCTCCCACGCTTCTGCTCCCCACCTTGAGCCCCTGTCTCCCTCCCCCCACCACGCACAGAGACCCAGCCTCGTGACTCCTGGCCCTCCTACTCCCTTCGAGATGGAGGGTGTTCTTTTGCACCCAACCCTGTGCCCTAGAGACCCTGTGGCTCTCCTGTCCCTTCCCCGGGTACCTCCTCGCTCTGTGTGGTGCACTGTGGACCATGGACTGGCGTCTTTCCCACTCACGATCAGCAAAGACCCTATCTCCTCAACTCATGACTCAGAGGCGCTGTTCCCGCTCCATTCGGAGCCCTGGCAACCGAGTCGTTCCCGCGGTTCCTTCCAAGCGTCCAGCCCCGCGTCCTCTTTCCATATTCTTTACCCAGGATTGGGGTCCTCCCGTATCCTTGACTCAGGCACAACTCAGCTTTGCCCTCACTCCAACCTCAGTCTCCTGGCGATCTGCCAGGACCTTGAGAACTCGTTCATTCCCCATCCCCCACCTGGAGTCCCCTCCTCCCAGCGTTGCTGTGTGCATCGAAGACCCCATTTTCCCTCTCTTCCCCTCCCACCATGTTTTCCCACCACTTCATTGGAGCCTTGGAGACCAGGGCTCACCGTTGCCATGTCCCAGAGACACCCTCAAGGTTTGGACTCTAGGAGCACACATCCAAACCTGAGGCCCGGGCAGGACGCGGGACTCCTGGGTTCTTTCCTGACTGTGGCCTCTGCTCGTCCCTCGGGGACCCCTGACTCAGTGTAGGGGCACTGAGGTCTCAGGCTGAGCCCGCGTTTCCCCGGGCAGCGGTCGCGCAGGAGCCCTTCTGGGCAGACCTGCAGCCCCGCGTTGCGCTTGTGGAGCGCGGGGGCTCGCTGTGGCTGAACTGCAGCACCAACTGCCCTCGGCCGGAGCGCGGTGGCCTGGAGACCTCGCTGCGTCGAAATGGGACCCAGAGGGGCTTGCGCTGGCTGGCGCGGCAGCTAGTGGACATCCGCGAGCCAGAGACCCAGCCCGTCTGCTTCTTCCGCTGCGCGCGGCGCACACTACAGGCGCGTGGGCTCATTCRCACTTTCCGTGAGTTCTGTGTGGCCAAGCTCATACTCCACTACTTTCCTTCCCTTCCGAGGCCCCGCCCCAGGGTTCCGGGATCCTCCCCTTTAGGCTCCACCCTCTAGATTCCCACACTCTCCCTTCTGGGTCTTGCCTCCCTAAGCCCCAGCGTTTCCAATAGCAGCGATTCCCATTTTGCAGAGCGGCCAGATCGCGTAGAGCTGGTGCCGCTACCTGCCTGGCAGCCCGTGGGCGAGAACTTCACCCTGAGCTGTAGGGTCCCGGGCGCCGGTCCCCGCGGGAGCCTCACACTGACCCTGCTGCGCGGGGCTCAGGAGCTGATCCGCCGCAACTTTGCCGGCGAGCCACCCCGAGCGCGGGGCGCGGTGCTCACCGCCACGGTACTGGCGCGGAGAGAGGACCATGGAGCTAATTTCTCGTGCCGCGCGGAGCTGGACCTTCGGCCGCATGGCCTGGGACTGTTTGAAAACAGCTCCGCCCCCAGAGAGCTCCGAACCTTCGGTGAGTGGGTGTGGGGTCCCCAAGTTGGGGCGGGCTGATTTTTAAGTTTAGAGACATATGCATCTGAATGCTACTCCTTACTTCAATGCTCACCTGCTGAGTTATTTTCGTCTATGCCTTAAGACTGATAATATAAGATAGTGAATGTGAAATGCTTAGTACATATCGACTGCTCAGTACATAAATTTAAGCCCTATTCTTCGACCCTAGCCTTGTCTCCAGACTCCCCGCGCCTCAATGCTCCCCGGCTCCTAGAAGTGGGCTCAGAAAAGCCGGTGAGCTGCTCTTTGGACGGACTGTTTCCAGCCCCGGAGGCTGGGGTTTACCTCGAATTGGGAGATCAGAGACTGAATCCTTATGTCACACTCGAGGGGGACGCCCTCATGGCCACTGCTACAGTCACCGCAAGCGCAGAGCAGGAGGGTGCCAGGCAGCTGGTCTGCACCGTGACCTTGGGGGGCGAAAGCCGAGAGACCCGGGAGAACCTAACGATCTACAGTAAGGAGCTGCGCACCCAGATTTCCGCGACCTAGGGGTGGGGCCAAAACCACTCAAAGGCGGGGCGATGAGTGGGCGGGATCTCAGTATCTGAACAGGCATGGCCAGAGAATTTTTAAAGGACCGACAGATAGAGGTTGGGAAGTTGGCTGCAACCCGGGAAACGCCCCGGGACATAAGGGGCGGGCTTTGACCCGTAGGAGGGGCGTGGTCAGCGGACTCCCGGCAATGCTCGGTCCCCAGGCTTCCCCGCGCCCCTCCTGAACCTGAGCGAACCCAACGCCCCTGAGGGGAAGATGGTGACAGTAACCTGCACAGCCGGGGCTCGGACCCTGGTCACACTGGAGGGAATTCCAGCTGCTGTTCTGGGGCAGCCCGCCCAACTCCAGCTAAACATCACTGAGAATGATGACAGGCGCGGCTTCTTCTGCGAAGCCATCCTCGAGGTGGATGGGGAGATCTTGAGCAAGAACGCGAGCGCGGAGCTTCGCGTCCTGTGTGAGTTAATGTTAACCCATCGCCCAGCTCCTAGTGACCTCCAATCACCTGCTCACTCTCCGATCGCGATCGCATAGTGGCAGCGGGGGTCATTCATCGCAAGCCACTTTTAGCCTCTTGTATCCCACGCCCCTGTCCACAGATGGTCCCCGGCTGGACGACTCTGATTGTCCCAGAAGCTGGACGTGGCCAGAGGGCCCAGAGCAGACATTGCGCTGCGAGGCCCGAGGAAACCCAGCGCCCTCAGTGCATTGCGCGAGGCCCGACGGCGGGGCGGTGCTGGCGCTTGGCCTACTAGGTCCGGTCACTCGCGCACTCGCGGGCACTTACCGCTGCACAGCGGTCAATGTACAGGGCGAGGCGGTCAAGGACGTGACACTAACAGTAGAATGTGAGTAGTGGGGTACCCAGGGCGCCTCCTCTCTTTCTGGTTCTCAGGGCCTAAGCGGGGCTGACCTACAGCGAAGTATAAGAATAGGGTTTGAAGTGTGTCTCTGAGCAAGATTTGGGAAAAGGGAAGAGGCTGGTGAGGAAGCGGCATCAGGGACCAATCTTGGAAAAGGATGGGGGCGTGGGTGTGTGGGTGTACTCTGGCAAAAATGGGCTGTCTGAGTGGCCAAAAAATTTAGGCTGAAGACTGGAGAGGGCCTGTGGGTTCATTGTGGGAATTAGAAAAATGTCCCTACTCAGGGCTCATG